CTTCTCGTTACCTAGAATTATAGGAAGGGATGGTTGTTATAATGGTACGATTGGAGATGCTAGTAACAATGAAGGTAAAATTGATAAAGTTGATTGGCAATTGCATAGAGAATTGACGTAATTAAATATTTTATGTGAACTAAGTTAGAGGAAGTATATAGCGATAATGACAAGTAATTATGAGTAAGGATTACTATGAGAGTGATGGTGATTAGATAATGATATTAATGATGGTGATGACGACAGTGACAAAGACGATCATGCTGTATCAAAATTACAATATAATTTCTATTAATAGGGATGATGATAATGATACTGGCAATGATGATCATCTCAACAACAAAACACAAATGCAGTCAAAAATATTGTAATTAGTGGTAAACAAATAACTCTGCAACTCTATATAAAACAGACAAAAAAAAAATACAACAAGGCACGAAAAATCCAACGTAAAAATACTAAGCACAAACAAACAGAAATGTGTCAAACAAATTATAGAAGGATCAAGAAAGAAAAAACGCTAGACAACAATAAAATATTTTTTTTGCTGATAATTATGCGCGAGAGAGAGGGAGGGAGAGAGAGAGAGAGAGAGAGAGAGAGAGAGAGAGAGAGAGAGAGAGAGAGAGAGAGAGAGAGAGAGAGAGAGAGAAAGGGAAATAGCGAAAGAGAGAGAAAAAAATGCCCTATCAAAGGTAAAATATGTGCTGAGATATTTAAAGAAAACCGCATTTGGTTCAAAATCGTGCTGGTAGTGTTTCCAAAACAAATATCGGTTCCAAGAAATTGCTGAATGAACGGTTTATAAGACAGGGAAACAGACCTCACTAACCCTATTTATATTATATCAATGGAATAATGAATGGCTGATTTATTAAAACAGGCGAGACAAAAGTAAGACCCAATTTGTCGGTATTTCTTGGAAAGGCGAAGGAAAATCTGTCACGTGAGGGTCACAATTGACTGATGCGATTGCTAAATGCATTTCGCCGACTTTGACGCGAAAATGCTGTTTTTGATTTGCGCTTGCAAGAAAAGAGCATCTGAGAAGCAAATTACGTTGCACAATGATAAGAAGAGAGGGAGTGGGGGAGGTAGCAGGAGTGGGAGAGGGAGAAGGAGAAGGAGAATTAGAGGGAAAGGGAGAAGGAGAAAGAGAAAGAGAAAGAGAAAGAGAAATAGAGAGAGAGAGAGAGAGAGAGAGAGAGAGAGAGAGAGAGAGAGAGAGAGAGAGAGAGAGAGAGAGAGAGAGAGAGAGAGAGAGAGAGAGAGAGAGAGAGAGAGAGAGAGAGAGAGAGAGAGAGAGAGAGAGAGAGAGAGAGAGAGAGGAGAGAGAGAGAGAGAGAGAGAGAGAGAGAGGGAGAGAGAGAGTAATCTTACGAGTCCAAAAGTTCCCTCGCAGCAAATGTGGATACACTCACCGACCATAACGAGAACGCTTTTTCGTAGACTTTTGAGTAATAAGAAATATATAGGCTCCGAGGAATTTGATTCATTACATAAAAAAAGTCGAAAACCATAGAACTGATGATGTTTGTACTGCAGAAAACACTGAAATTTGAAACGTCAATTTTTCTTGTTCGCTCTATAGATCGCTTATAAAGTAGCGCATTTGATCACATAATGGGATTGGGTAAGGTTTCTCTGCTATACCCTTTTGCTTTAATCTATTTTCTATTATATCTAATTTCATCTTTTAAAACCATTAGAGCAAATCACTAAATAGCCTTCCGTTATAAATTTCTAATTGCATTTCCTTCGTGGTTTGACCTGAATACTAATCTCTCTTTCTCTATGAATTTTTCTTTCTCTCTTTAGGTTTTGAAGCAGATCAGGAGACAACATTATTTGCTTTTCATTTTCATTGTTTTGAAAGAAGTATTATTATTTTTCTCTTGCGTAGGAGGAACTAGAGGTTGATATATTAATACTGAACTGCTGTATTTAGTGGCCATCTATTCACAATCCCTTATGGAATATATTCTTTAATGACGACAATCTCGTTTCCTTTCTGTATAGACTAAATTTCTCTATAAACTAAACGACATTTTCTTCTCTTTAGATAAACTTTACAGAAGATACTTCTATGCTCTCTCTTATCCGGACAGTAGAATTGCAGCGTCATTGAAATATTAAGATGTTCAAACTCTCTATTTCATCTTTTTCTCTCTGTCTTCCTAACTTATCGAAGCTGGCATTGTGTTTTGGTAGTTTAAGGTTAGACTATTATGATCAATTCTTTTATGCTTTAGTCAAGTATCTCGTAGGTATTTTGATTATTATTTAAACTCTTTATTTTTGTATCATCTCTCTCCATTTCTCACTGGTGGAGGTTGGGAGTGTCTTGACATATTTAGAAAATATTGTCTAGAAATTTTGAATTATGAAGATATTAAGGTATTACTACAAAACCTTTTATATCATCTCTCCGACCTCAGAGTTGGAGCTCGGCAACATACCTATATATTCTAATTACGGTAATCAGTGTTAAACATTTGGAATATTAATGAATCAAAATATTAACACTAAATATTTTCGCTCTCCCCCCTTCCCTCCCTCGCAGCTGGAGTCTGGCAGCCTCTCTAGATATTTCGCCTCCCCTCCCTCTCCCTCCCCTCTCTCTCCCTACCTCCCTCCCTCCCTCCCTCTCTCTCACCCTCTCACCCTCCCTCCCTCCCTCTCTCCCTCTCTCCCTCTCCCCCTCTTCCTCTCCCCCTCTCCCTTCCTCCCTCCCTCCCTCCCTCCCTCCCTCCCTCCCTCCCTCCCTCCCTCCCCCCCCCTCTCCCTCCCTCCCTCCCACCCTCCCCCTTTCCCTCCCTGCCTCCCTCCCTGCCTCCCCTCCCTCCCTGATAATTAGAGCTCGACACTGGGTCTAGATATTGTAAATACTAGGATGTTAGAATATTAAAGCTGAATGTTTAATCTCCTCTCTTTCTTTCTCTCGCTGTTGGGGGCTGACAACTTCTCTAGATAGTTTAAGTGTTAGAATACGAAATGCGGTCGTGTCTGAATACCTTGCGAATTTAGATATGGAGATACGGGTAATTAGATCATGCGTCTTTTTCTCCTTCCCCCGCGATACAGGGTGACGGTCGCTCTCGGATAGTCGGCTCGAATCTCGCTTTCTTTCTGCTCTCGGAGATTCAGAAACTCCGGATACAAAACAAACGAACAAAACAAGAATGATAACAGCATAAAACAAAAACACCAACAGCAGCAACAACAAAAAGACAATAACTAAAACTAGAATTAGAACTCAAACTAAAACTCAAACTCAAACTCAAACTAAAACTAAAACTAAAACAAAAGACCAGACAATAAGACTAAAATCCCCCCTCTCTCTCCCCCCCTTTCGCGCAGTTGGAGGTTGACGGCGAGGCAGAAGGCGGGGGGTCGAAGGCCCTGTTCCTGGAGAAGGTGCGCCAGAGCAATGCCGCGTGCCAGTCCGGAGACTTCGAGACCGCCGTGGCACTCTACACCGAGGCCATCGCGCTCGACCCCCACAACCACATCCTCTACTCCAATCGCTCCGCCGCCCACATCAAGCTCGCCAAGTTCGCCCACGCCCTTCAGGATGCCACGAAGGCGCGCGAGCTCAACCCCAAGTGGCCCAAGGTAAGAGGGGAGGAATGGCTGAGGGGAAGGAGGGAGGGGAGGGGTGAAGGGACAGCTGGGTGAGGGGAAGGAGGGAGGGGAGGGGAGGGGTGAAGGGACAGCTGGGTGAGGGGAAGGAGGGAGGAGGGAAGGGAGGCATGAGGGGAAGGGAAGGTTTAGGGGAGAGCTGGGTGAGGGGAAGGTAAGGGAGGGGAGAAGGGGAAGGGGTTAGAGGGAAGGGAGAGGGAGGAAGTCCCGAAGCCGAGTGCCAAGGCTCTCGAATTCACTCCCAGGCAGCCGAAGGTAAGACGGGAAAGGAGGGAAGAGGGGAATCAGAATAAGAATCAATTGCTTTTATTTAGCCTAGGAATGTACAATTTACGTTTACACTTATAATGTATAATAAAGGTAATATGGCTGAGCCCTACCGGAGTAGCACTTGAAATGCTATTTAAGGAACGTGATGGTCAAGATTTGAATGAAAATACATTTACGGTAATTGTTTCTACAGGCACCAAGCAACTGAACAATATAAACCGTATTCGTGTTGACAAACGTAATAAAGGTATGAGTGAAAATTAATATCTTCACAATACAAGAGATGCATTTGACCGGTTTCGATTATATCTTCATCAGAAATACGAAGATAGAATCGAAACCGGTCAAATACATCTCTTGCATTGTGAAGATATTCATTCTCACTCATGCCTTTTCTAACTTAATATATTAAACGAAATGCAGTCACACCAATGTCGTGAATGAACGCAATATTCACTTGATTAATCTTGGTTGATATACTATTAGTTTCCAGCTAAATGAACACGATTATTTTCATATCAATGTATAATACATTGTCGCAAAATCATATATATCGACTTTAAAGACAAACAAAGAGATGTGCAACAATGTCTTCCACGATGCGTATTGCGACAACAAGTAAAATTTCAACGCACGTTTGAAGGCGACAAGGGAATGGGTAAAGAGGGTTTGGGGAAGGAGAAACGAGGGTTAAGGGAAGAAGAAACGAGGGGAAGGAAGAGAGAGGAGAGGACAGGGAAGGCAGAGGAAGAGCAGACCTCACTTCCCCTACGGCCTTCAGGATGCGAATTCCGCCCAGAGGTAAAAAGGGAATGGGGAAAGGAAGGGGTTTAGGAAAGGGTGTTAAGGAAAAGGGAGAGGGAAAGGGGAAGGGGTGAGGGTAAGGGAGAAGGAAAAGGGGGGAGGGTAAGGGAGAAGGGGAAGGGGTGAGGGTAAGGGAGAAGGAAAAGGGGGAGGAAAAGGGGAAAGGGTAAGGGAGAGAAGAAAGGGGAGGAGGTGAGGGTAAAGGGGAAGGGAAAGGGGAAAGGGTTAGGGTAAGGGAGAGGAAACAAGTTAAGAGGTGAGGGTAAGGGAGGGGGAGAAGGAAA